AAAAATAAATTATTAAATTATACTAAACGGCCAATAAGCAACACAATCGTAATATATTTAGCATAAATGAATATACCAGCATAAAAAATCTGCATACTCAAAATGTTCAATACGTCCTCATATTTATACATACCTATGTATATAATTTAAGAGCAGATATTTCGCTGCAAAGCAATGATTATAAATTATTAGTTTACTACCTTACAAAATTGCGGAGAAATATTACAGAGTATACGGAAAAATTTTAATTTTTTTACATTTTTTATTTTGAATAACGTCTGGTCCGGCTATTTGGTTTACTATACGGGTATGTAGAACTAAGAATTTAAAAAATACATCAGGGTTTAGTTGAGATATTCGCTTTCGACCACTATGTTTTGTACATTTCCCAGTACTGCAAAGCTTTTGACTGCCATTCAACTGGGAGTGGCCCGCGTGCGCTGGGTTTGGGTCCCGCCACGTTAAAACCCTGCCCAATGAAAAAAAAACACATGCCTCGGATGATACCCCCTTCTTTTGATGACGATCACGGCAAACATAGGAAGGACTATGATTTTAGGGTATGCACTTGGAATATCCGAACCCTTAATCGGGATGGTGCCTTTGCCCGGCTGGTTGATGTCCTAGGGAAAATAAAGGCTGACATCACCGCCATCCACGAAATGCGATGGACGGGGCGAGGAAGGTAAGCGTGGAGCCTTGCGACGTCTACTACAGTTGCCACGTAAAGGAGTGCAATTCGGTGTTGGATTTGTGGTGGGAGAGAGACCGGCGTTCACTCTAGTGGACGAAAGTCTAGCCACAATCCGCATCAAAGCGAGATTCTTCAACATCTAATTCATATGTGCCAATGCCCCGATGGAAGAGAGGGACGAGGCATCCAAGGCTCTCTTAGCTTAGAGCGTACATATTAGCTGAGGGTGATCGACTTCGCCGGGGCCCGAAACTTGGCAGTATGTATTACTGGGTTCTAGCATAAAAAGATCTATCAAGCTACATGGTTGTCTCCACAATCCACCAATCGAAAAACGGGAAACCAAATCGAGGATGTTGGGATAGACAGAAGGAATGCTTCCATGTTTTAGATGTACAACGTACACTCCGAGGGCCAAACATCGACTCACACTACTATATTGATGCATCCAATATACGACCCAACCTCAGAGCAGCAAAAAAAGGGCCCCCAACAATCCATGGAAAGTTCAACGTCGAAAAGCTGCAATCAAAACAGACGGCCAATGGATTCGGCGCTCTACCCTCACACCTGCTGTGAGAGAGCGCTCTTCAACAAACCGACTTGCGCGATCAGTGGAACCACATTTAACGCTCATTACTGGTACGATGAGGAGTGTGAGAAAATGCTTGAAATGCTGGCCGACAGAAAAAACATCCGAAATTTTTAGCAGAGAGTTGAGCGACTTACGGAAGGTTTCAAGACTCTTGTGGGAACAACCATGGCGACCTAATGACCGATGCCCAGAACATACTCAGATTATGGAGGGAACACATTTCTACCCTTTCGAATGGCAGAAGCACAGAAAGAAGTGGAGAAGATGAACCCGAGGTCCCAGTCGATGACGATGGAGTCAATATCCCAGCGCCTGACTATAACGAAAAGTGCCAAAGCTGCTTGAGCTGACGGCCTGTCAGCTGAGCTATTTAATTACGATGGCAAGGAGGTAATAAGGTACATGCCCGACGACTGGAATTCAAGTGTGCTCTGCCCAATCCACAAAAAAGGCGACCCCGCCATGCGTGCCAACTACCGCGGGATCAGTCTTCTAAGCATCGGTTGCAAGGTCTTAACGAATGTATTGTCTACCATAGACCAGGTATTCACAATACGCCAAATCTTGGAAAAGACCCGCGAGAAAAGGATCGGCACTCACCACCTATTTGTCGACTTTAAAGCCGCTTTCGACAGCACTAAAAGGAGTTTCCTATATGCCGCTATATCTGAATTTGGCAACCCCTCAAAACTCACACGGCTGTCAAAAATGACGTTGAGCAATACCACCAGCTCTGCTATGTTACCGTTCGCCACCAGACGGGGTTTCAGACAGGACGACTCTCTTTCATG